TGGAAAAATCTTCGTTGTGCCAAAAGAAATTTAGCTAATTACTGTTTGAAGTTAATCATTAAACTGACGCTGAGCTCATTTCAAGCCCAGAGGATGGAGCAGTTCTCTGTTCCTGCACTGCACCAAGACAGACCTCTGCAGTCAATGCTCTTGACCAAGCAGAATGATTGAGTCACAGAATACTTGCAGTGGACAGACCCAATGCTAACCTCTCCATCCCTTTTCCCCAATACCACCACAAGCTCTTCAAGTTAAATTGTTCCTAAATGACTCCCAAAGAGAGTGACATGTCCTCAACCCAAGCGGTGTATTAGGACTTTACAGCTTCACTGCTGAATTCTACCAAATATTCAAAGAACTAATACCAATCCTCCTTAAACAAAAAAATTAAGGAGGAGGGGATACTCCCAAATTTTTTTACTAGGCTTATGTCACCCTGATACAAAAATCAGACAAAGACACGACAAAAAAGAAAACTATAGGCCAATATCTCTAATGAACACAGGTACAAAAATCCTCAACAAAATATTAACAAACAAAATTCACTAACACATTAAAAATATTATTCATTATAATCAGGTGGGATTTATCCCAGAGATACAAGGATGGTTCAACATCCAAAAATCAATCAACATGATATGTCATATCAAAAGAACTAAGGATGAAAATCATATGATCATTTCAATTGATGCTGAAAAAGCATTCAATAAAATTCAACATCACTTCATGATAAAAATTCACAAAAAACTGGGTATAGAAGCAACTTACCTCAACATGATAAAAGCAATATATGATAGACCCACAGTCAGTAGTATACTGAATGGGGAAAAACTGAAAGCTTTTCCTCTAAGATCTGGAACATGACAAGGATGCCCACTTTCACCACTGTAATTCAACATATTGCTGGAAGTTCTAGCTAGAACAATCAGACAAGAGAAAGAAGTAAAGGGCATCCAAATTGGAAAAGAAGTTAAATTATCCTTGTTTGTAGACTATATGATCTTGTATCAAGAGAAACCTAAAGACTCCACCAAAAAATTATTAGAACTGATAAATTCAGTAACGTTGCAGAATACAAAATCAACATACAAAAATGAGTAGCATTTCTATATACCAACAGCAAACAATATGAAAAAGAAACCAAAAAAGTAGTACCATTTACAATAGTTACAAATAAAATAAAATATCTAGGAATAAACTTAACCAAAGAAGTTAAAGACCTCTATAACAAAAACTATAAAATACTGATGAAAGAAGTTCAAGAGGATACAAAATTTGGGAAGATATTCCATGTGCATGGATTAGAAGAATCAATACTATTAAAATGTCTATAATATTCAAAGCGATCTACAGATTCAATACAATCCCCATTAAAATACCAATGACATTCTTCACAGAAATACAAAAAATAATCCTGAAGTTTATATGGAACCACAAAAGACCCAGAATAGCCAAAGCCATCCTGGGGGAAAAAAAAAACAAAAAACTGGAAGAATCACATTACCTGACTTCAAATTATACTATAGAGCTGTGGTAATCAAAACAGCATGCTACTAGCATAAAAACAGACACATAGACCAATGGAACGGAATAGAAAACCCAGAAGAAAATACATACATCTATAATGAACTTATCTTCAACAAAGTTGTCAAGAACATCATACAGTGGAAAAAGGAAAGTCTCTTCTATAAATAGTGCTGGGAAAACTGGATATCCATATGCAGAAAAATGAAACTAAGCCCTTATCTTTCATGATATGTGGAAATCAAAACAAAATGGATTAAAAACTTAAATCTAGGACCTGAAACTGTAAAACTACTGAAAGAGAACATTGGGGAAACACTTCAAAACATTGAGCTGGACAAGGATCCCCAAAGCACAGGCAACCAAAGCAAAGTTGGACAAATGGAACCACATCGAGCTAAAAAGCTTTTGCACAGTAAAGGAAACAATCCAAAAAAGTGAAGAGACACCCCGTAGAATGGGAGAAAATATCTGCAAACTACCCATCTGACAAGGGATTAATAAATAGAATATATAAGGAGTTCCAACAACTCAATAGGATAAAATCAAATAGTCCGATTAAAAAATGGACAAAGGATCTGAATAGACATTTCTCAAAAGAAGACATACAAATGACCAACAGATCTATGAAAAAATGCTCAACATCATTAGTCATCAGGGAAATGCAAATCAAAACTACAATGAGATATCATCTTGTCCCAGTTAAAATGGCTTTTATTGAAAAGATAGGCAATAATAAATGCTGGTGAGGATGTTTGAAGAAAGGGGAACCTTCACACACTGTTGGTGGGAATGTAAATTAGTGCAACCACTCTGGAGAACAGTATGGCGGTTCCTCAAAATACTAAAAATAGAACTACCATACAACTCAGCAATCCCACTGCTATGCTAGGTATATATCCAAAAGAATGCAGCACTATTCACAATACCAAGATATGGAATCAAGCTAAGTGTCCATCAGTGGATGAATGGATAGAGAAATTGTGGTACATAAACACAATGTAATATTATTCTGCCATAAAAAAGAATGAAATCCTGCCATTTGCAACAACATGGATGGAACTGGAGAACATTACATGAAATAAGCCAAGCACAGAAAGACAAATCTCTCATGTTCTTCCTCATATGTGGGAGCTAAATATTAAAATAATTGATCTCATGGAGACACAGAGCAGAGTGATGGTTACCAGAGGCTGGTAAGGGTAGCAGGCAGGGGAGGAAAAAGTGGAGATGGTTAATAGGTACAAAAATTTAGTTAAATAGTTAAATAGAATGAACAATATTTGATAGCAAAACATAGTAACTCTTATCAACAATAAGTTAGGGTGTCCTTTAAAATAACTAAAAGAGTGGAATTGGAATGTTCCTAACATAAAGAAATGATAAATGCCTAAGGTGACACATACCTCAATTACCCTGATTTGATTAATTCACACTATATGCATGTATCAAAAATCACATGTACCCTATAAATATATACAACTATTATGTACCCATAATAATTAAACATTTAAATATAAATACAATAGAGTTAATATATGTAAATTGCCTTCCAATATATATGAATCTAGCCTGAGTTTAAATGTCTGTAGGGAGTGCCACATTACCTTTGCATTTCTCAAATACACTGAAAGCTTGCATTAAAATTGGAGGATATGAGAGATGGGAGATAGGGGAGCTAAAAATTCCCCATACCCAGTGAATCTGTTTCCAGCCACAGGATAAGTCATTGGATACTCAACAGCCCCTCAGGAACCCCTAGAGAAGTTAGGGGTTAAATGAACCTCAGATGCCTCCCAACTCTCAGATTTTGGATCTATGAATTTGTCACTTACTCATTCAACAAACATTCTTTGAGACCTGCTCTGTGTAGGCATTGCACTAAGTATACAGAGATGATTCAGATGTTTCTGTCCTCAAAAATCACACAGCTGAAAATATGGAACAGAATAGAATATGGTAAGTGCTGAGACAGTGCCTGGTATTCTTTATAGACACTACAGGTGGGAGAGTGTCTGAAAAGCAATACAGAAAAATGCAGCTGAGCATAGAGCTGAGCAAGAGTTTTCCAAGTGACAAACAAGAGACAATGTCATTCAAATCACAAAGACAAAAGGTGTGAAGGTCATGACTCATGACCTTGCCCATCAAGGGCTACCAGGAAAAGACGAGAACACAAATCTGGGAAAGAGCAAGGCCAATGGGAGATGATGGCACTTTGAGAAGAGCGTGTGGACTTCTCAGAGAGATCCAGCCCCACCCACAAGGAGACTGACAACCACCTTGGGGTCTCAGACAGCACAAACCACATCTGGGGAAAGCAGTTCTCTGCCCTTCCCTCAGACAAGCAGCTGGGACAGCCATGGCCACCCCAGCCCAATGGCCAGAATGCAGGACACTTACTACAGAACCAGGGGAGAGAGGGAGGTTATCTCTGGTCTCCTTGCAGCCTAGGGGAGGAAGAAACTGACAGGAAGGCTAAAAAGGAGTATGCAAACAGGATTGAGATGAATTACTTAAATCAAGCATGCTTTGCAATTTAGCTCACATTCTTCTCCCTTGTGTTTCTCTGGCAAGTCTTTGCATTTTGTTTTGTTTAGAGATTTATACAGCCTCCCTTTCTGTGAGGAGTAGGCCAGCTTAGCAGTAGCACTGCTTAGGACAGGCAGAAACTGGGTATATTTTGGAACCCATGTTGTCTCGATGCCTGCTGAACACTGGCCAGTGCCCTTAGTGACAAAATAATGGAAGGCCCAGATTGTCCTCCTGCTTTTCCAGGGCTCGCAGGCAGATGCTGAGGTTCTCAAGACTCCAAAGGGACACAAAAAGAGAATAAGGGCACTGGATGGGACCCTTGAGAACAAATGCCTCTGAATTTGAGATGAAGGTCATTTTGCAGACCTATTCCTCCTATTTCTCCTAAAAACACTACTGCTAATTATTATGGGGTGTAGGTTGTTACAGTGATAGCATTAAGAGATGTGGGTGGGGGCTTAACTTATGTAGACAAGTCTCTATATGAAAAAATTTTCCTTCAAACTGGGTTTGAGACATTTCCATATCTTACATCCATGATGTCAGGGGGACACATAAGGTCATTCAATCTTCTAAAATGCGATACACCAGATGGTCTTTGTATCCACTGCATCATCCTGTGGACACAAGGGATACCCCAGCCACCATGAATGAACGGATGTGAGGAGATGGGGAAGGAAGGTTGAGATTTATAACAGACACCACAGAAAGAAAGACAGTAGAAGCTTTTTGTCTCAAGTGGGAAAGGAGATCAGAAGGGCAAGCCACCTATTAAAGATGGAGACACCAAGACCCAGATAGGACAAGTGACTCTCCCAAGGTCATGCAGCGAGCTATGCTGGGGCCAAGGCAGACCTCCAGAACCAGCTGTTCCCACTGAACAATGAGCTTCTTCCTTCTTTCCCCATCCTGCCATTTTGGCCCATAACCACAAAGCTCACCTTGGCTATGATGCGGCACAAGGGTGCCCCCTCCTGGGTCAGGCTGAACAGGTTCCCTGTGGTGGTCTCCATGGTATAGATATTGTCTGAGGCATCAATTTTTCTCACCAGTGCCTACAAAAGAGAAAAAAGTCAGCTGGATACTCACCCTCATATGCTCTATGCTCATCCTAAACCAGTGAGCCCTAATACCATGCTCCTAATAGCCCCTCTAGAATCTATAATCCTGCCCCATCCACCACCCCTCTGTGGGGGCAATGAGGTTCCAGCTTTGGGAAAGACATGAGTCAGGGGGAGGTTTGAGCTACATGTCAGAGATATGGAATAATTTCAGACCCTGAGCCATGGGCAACAAATGTGCCCTGCCCCAGACAATCAGAAAATCAGCTCTCAACATTGATAGGCTCAGTAAATACCACTTTCTTGTGCTACTGGCTCCTAATGAAAGCAGAAACTGTCCGTTGAATAAACAAACCATCAAGTTGAAAACCAGTGAGTTGCTACAGCTATGTCCAAAAAATGTGCTAATTTTCCAAGGTGAGTAGCTGAACTCCAGTGCTGAACTTCAGTTGAGTGATGGGTTCAGGAGTTAAGTCAGGAGAAGCACTCGATAGTAGGACATTTGCTGAGACAGCTGCACTCAACCGTAGCTTACTGCTTGGGTGTACAGCCAGGCCAAAACAGCGACACTGGAATCCTATCACGGGGTGGGTGAAGAATGCCATACTGATCAAGGCTGAAGGAGCTAAGGCCAGTGGTGAGAGGGGTTTGGAATGACTGAACATATGGCCAAGGGAGGCCCAGGGAGGAAAACAAATGGAAGATTCATTAACAAATAAGATATATAAGATTATTCCTAGAAAAGCTAAGCTAATTTCTGGGAAAAAGTCTTTCATGTATCTTGAAACCACTTCATAATCAGCTATTTGCTTTGAAGCATTTGATTCATTGATTATAAATAATTCCTACCTGCTAATTACTGCTGGCTGCTCAAGTTTCTCCTGGGAGGTGTGGAGATAGAGACAGGGGAGCTGCCTTTGAGGGCTTCACATGGGAAGCTGGGTGCTGTGAGCAGCCACCTGTTCAGTTTCAGTTACCATGTTTATTTTAAAATATTAAGACTGGTTTGTTTTTAATTGAACCCTGGTGTTACAGAAAAGAGCAACTTAGACACTTAAGGACAACACTTAGAGCAACTGAGCCTTTCTTTGCCTCGGTTTCCTCATCTATAAAATGGTATAAGTAACAGTATCTATCTTTTAAGGAGGTTGTGCCCCTTTCTTAAGGTTGTCAATATATACATAAAGGACTTCTAAAGACACTTGCTGAGTAGACACAAAATAAAATTTAAATTGTTAACAGTTATAATTTTGTGATTTTGACCAATTGAGATAAACTTCCTATACCTCAGTTTCCTCATTTGTAAAATTATTACAATTAAGGAGGTTTGAGGCTCAAGGTAAATGGTTCTCCCTTTTTTCTTCTTTATTTAAACTCATGGAATTCTTCACACACACAGCATGCCAATCCCCTGTAAAGCAGTCTAAGTTAAGGATGTGTTTAATCAAACTATGTTAAATACAAAAATTATTCTCCAAGTTGATAGATGCCTCTTGTGAAAGATTCAACAAAAGGTAAAATTAATAACGAAGATTTGTCACTAAAAATCTCTGTAATGATCACACTTCTTAGAACCCTTCCCCACCGTTACCGTAAGCAGCTACACATGTGATGGTGACGTTCACATGAAAATGCAGATTTCATGTATTGGGGTCCTGTACCTAAATGATAATTACCTAATGTTCCTGATTAGTGTTTGCACTTGAAGCAAATTAGCATTACATTAAACAATTCAAACCCAATGTCTTTTGCAATCAGCTGCTAATATTAGACCATTTAAATCAGAGAATAATTTCATGTTAATATCTATACACATATATACAGTAATTACACCTCAGCTATGTCTCTGTGAATCAGATCTCTGACAAAAGAAAATTGTAAGCATCCTTTCCACAACATAAATCTGTGATATGAGATTAAAGGCGTCACTGAAATCTTTAAGCCTCTAAATACCACAATTATGTCAGAACTGGATGGAAGAGACCTCAGAAATCTTTTGCGCAATTCTCATTTCACAGCTAAGGAAACTGAGACATAGTCATGACCAAGGTCACACATGTGATCCAGCATGAAGCTGGGCCCCAGCCCCTGTGGATCCAACTTCCCATTTGCAAAAGTCAGTGAATCCATCTCCTTGAATGGTGGCAGGACCCCACCTGGAAGGGTGGAGCTGGAAGCCTCAAGGCTCTCACCAAATCGGGGAGTGGTTCTCCCTCCTGGCTTCCCATTTGCATCCAACACTCTGTGTGATGTGGTGGTGATCAGAGCTCCTGCAGCAGAGGCATAGCTGGCTGGGGGCCCTGCTGCTGCTGTCCCTCTGTACCTTCCCTGTGCTCTTGCCAAGGCCACATCTCTCCTGAGCCACTCCCAGCTGTGACCGAGCACAGCAGGACTGTGGGACCTCTAACGGGTGCCTTTGGCTCGATTCCCTGTATGAGCTTCTTCCTTCCTCCTCTTCTTTCTCAGATGTCAGCCCTACAGCCTGGCTTTCTATGCCAGTTTCTTCTTCCTCCCCTTCCTGTCCACCGGAGTCGCCTATCTAATCCTATCTTAGTGACTTCCTCAAAGCAATGTGATCAAAGAATCAAGGTTTTTGTTTGTTTGTTTTTTCAGGAAATCAAGGCGAAATTAGAGAAGTTTCAAAAATATCCCTCACTCTATATCATGAAAAGAGTGGTAAAAGAATGAAAACAAAATTTTAAAAGATAAAGTTAGGCTGAATGACAAATATTTTCTTAAAAGACAGACTAGGCAGATATGAAACAAACAAACAAACAAAAAATAAGATCTTTGTAGAGCCGGAGAACAGTATAAAAAGAAGTTAAGGAGATGCATGCAGTCTAGCTGCTCTACATAAGGCGTTAGAAAAGAAAGATGTATTTTTAATCGTTCCTGCCACAGAAAGAGTGCTACCTGGTGAAATCTATCAGAAAGGAGGTAAACTCTCAGAGAGCAGGCTGGAATGAGTCTCTCAGAAGGAGCCAGGGAAATATTGGGAAGCCCCTTCCTAAAGCTTTAGATAGAGAGTCCATAGTTACACATCTATGCAAAGGGGTTGCATAAAGTGTGGGCAGACTTGACAGGGGTAGTAGATTACAGAAGGCTACCAATTCTTTTCTACTCCTCCCATAGACAGATGAGTCCTAATTCCCCTCCCTTTGAGTCTAGTTAGCCTTAGAGCCTTGCTTGACCAATAAAAGCCAGTATCTGGCAAAAGTGATGTCCTAGGACTTCCAAGGACAAGTCATAAGAAGCCTTCAGGCTTCCACCCCAGGCCTCTTGGAACTCTGTTTTGGGAACCCTAAACTGCCAGGCAAGAAGCTTGATAACTCTCAGACTGTCATGCTGGAAGAGCCACATGTAGGATTCCTGTCAACCCTCTCTGCATTGAGACCAGCCTTGTAGCCACCCCTCAAGGCACCAGACATGTGAGTGAAGCTGTCTAGGATTCCCCAAACCATCTATTGGCTGAACGATACCTCTGTTGATGCCACACAGAATGGAAGAATCACTCAGCCTAGCCCTCCCTGCTTAAATTTTGACCCTTAAAATCATGAGATATAATAAAAACAGTTGTTGTTGGATTTGTTTTTCATTATACTTTAAAAGAGCTCTGGAACATAAGAAAAGACTACAGAAATCAGCATGAGCTATTTGAAGGATTACTGCATAAATTTCCAGGTGACCGTTTTTGGAAGTGGAGATGTAGCATTTCTTGTGTCCAAAGGGAACATGCTGGAGAGATGCATGAATTAGGACTCTGAGGGAAGGCACATAAAGACCGGGCATACTGAAGAGAGAATAATTGAGTCCAGGCTTGGCTTAGCTATTCATCAGATGGGAAAATACCTCCTGGGTGGGAATACCCAATTTAGGAAGGTAAGTGTGGATAAGATCTGTTAGAACTGGAGGCTTTTAGCAGACCCAGAATATAACCGATTTCATTTCTCTCAATAAGGGAAATCTCCAAGTCTAGAAGAGTTTAAAACAGAAGAATGTGCTAGAAAGCAAAGAGAAGTAAAGGTAAAGAAGGCTGCTCAAATCTAGCTGCTACATTCAGTGTATGAGTTAGAGAAGAAAAGAGACATACAAAGGAGAGTAAACCCTTAGAAACTCAACCCAGTCTCTCTGAAAGGAGTAGAAAATTAACAGGAAAGAGAACACTGGAGGGATAGTTGATTACCGCAAAAAAAAAAAAAAAAAAGAAAAGAAAAGAAAAGAAAAGAAAAGAAAAAGCAGAAAGAAATACTACTCAAGGCTGGAATATTCAAAAGGCATAGAAAGATGCTATTTTGAGAAGCACTTGGCAGAGGGACTGGTTCTCTCCAGGACTATGGAGTCAGACATCAGGAGCATCAATAGAGGCCTCAGTTCAGGTATCTGCTGAGGGTGATTCTCTCAATGCAGGAAGTGTGGGAAGACCTCTCTAACAGTTAGGGGTCTTGAGGCCTACGCAATTCTCTAGAGTAAGAGGCAGGGACCAAGGCCATGCTACAGAACTAGAAGTACCTCTGTATCCTATGTGAAAAGAGTTTTTCTTATTTAGCCCTAAAAAAAAATTGAAAAATATGTGACTCTTTGCACATTTTTAATTTGGCAGCTAAAGTTGTATACCATAAGTTCAAAAAACAAAATTGGAAAGAATGTAACTTGCAGCAGATTGTAAATATTGACATAAAATAAAACCATTACATCACTCTTTCAGATGTGTTCAATGGAATATAAATACCAAAACAACGTGATACCAGCATCATCCATTTAAAAATGCATGAATAATGTCTTTTTAAAACATCTTGCCTTTTCTTTCCATCACTAAATTTATACTCCTATTTCAATTTTCCCTCAGAATTTTACCTTAATGCAATACATTTAAGTTTTAAAGTGTTTTATTGATCACCCTTATCATGCTTATCATTGAAACTTGAAATTTTATTTCCTGTTACTATAAGACTCCAAGTGTTTTTTTAGAAATATTTTCATGGTTGAGTTACTGT